GATCTTGTCAGACGCGGCCGTCTCCGGCACAACAGACCGCTCCTTCGATGTCACCACCGTCGCAAACAAGAAGCACATGTTTGCCGCCGAGGACGCCCAGCAGCGCGATCAGTGGGTCGAGGTCCTCAAGCTCAACATCGACGCCATCCCAGAGGAAGCACGCGTACGTGTTCGTGTGTTCATGTGGCTGTCTCAAGCCTGTTTTTGTTGGATTTGGCATCTGTTGCCGATTGTGTGGTGCGTGCGATGGCATTGAAGTGCCATTGCGCAACGCCAACCATCCCCCCCCCACCCACAACACACAACACACAAACACACACACACACACACACACATCCTTGGTTGTGTTCATTGTGCCCTGCAGGGGTTTGACTTTGAGGGTGCGGTCAAGTGCGGAAATCTGCAACGCTTGGTGGACGGCGAGTACAAACACAAGTACGTGTTGTCATCATCACAAGTCCCACGAACGAGCGCCTCCACTTGTGTTTAGGAAGAAGTGCATGCGTGCCTGAGTCTTGCGTGCATGCTCTTGACCATGACGTGATGGTTGATGAACATGTGGCTGCTTGGGGGCGTGTGCAGGTATTTTGCTCTGGCAGGCAAGACACTTCACGTGTTCACCAGCCGGGGTGATCCCACAAAGGAGTCCGAGATTGACCTGCGCGCCGTTCTGCAGTACCAAGACGGCATCGCAGAGTGAGCCCGCATGCTCGTGCTGCCTTGTTCGCATTGTTGGTTTGTTTGTTTGTTGTTTGTTTGTTTTGCTTCTATTGTTTTTTTTTTTTTTTTGCTTGCTTGCTTGTCCCTGCACTGTACGTCGTTGTATCCGCTCGCGCTCCTCCTCCAGCTTACCACACACACTCACTGGCTGTGTTTGGTGGGGCGTGCATCCCCTGCAGGATCAAGGAGAGCCAGCGCGGGTCTGTGCGGCGTGAGGGCCGCGCTGCCGAATTGGCGGCGCCGCCACCGGAGGTTGAAGTCGCTCCATCCGAAACAGAGTTCTCCCTCGTCTTCCAAAACCACGTGCGTACAACAGCTGTCGCTGCTACACCTGGGGGGGGGGGTGTGGAACGAAACGTGAGGGCAGGCAGTGCGCTATCGTGAATGGATGGCAAACTTGTTGCCATCTTGTTGTGGCTCACTTTGCCGTCTCGTCACACACACACACATACGCACGCACACACACACACACACACACACACACACACACACACACACACACACACACACACACACACACACACACACACACACACACACACACACACACACACACACATTCGGGACCTGTGCAGGTGCATGTGCTGCGTGCAGAGACGGAGTTGTTGAAAAACGAATGGCTGCAAGTTCTCCGAGAGACACAGGTCGGCGCTCGTGTACTCGCGATGCGTGTTCTATGCTTTTTCCTTGCCTGCCGTAGCATCTTTTTCACACCCTCTTTGTGATACCAGCTCAGAGCTGACACTTGACTCAAACCGTGGTTGGTTTGTGCACATGCCCTCGTGCAGGTGTTTGGCGTGCGCCTGGAGGCGAGCAAGACGCTTGTGCCCCGCATCGTGGACGTGTGCTGTGAGTTTGTTGAGAACTATGGCATCTTGACGGAAGGCATTTACCGCAAGTCCGGCAACGCCGCCGTCATCAAAGCGCTTCGGCGGCAGTTCGACGCAGACGACGCAGGCGTTCGCCTCACTGTGTAGGTTTTGCTCTGTGTGTGCCTGTGCGTGTGTGTGAACTGAGGGGGAATTAGTGTTTGTGTGATGTTCATGTTGGTGAAGACAATAGTGAATGAACAGTGGGTGTGGGCAGTGAGGGTGACCTGGCATTGCCTCGGCTTGAGTGCACGGGCGTTGCTCCAATGGTGGATTGTTCTTGTGCCATGATTCGCTCATCCAAGCCCTTGTGTCGTCGCACCAGGGACAAGTTTGGCGTGCACGACATTTCTGGTCTCCTCAAGCTCTATTTCCGCGAGCTGCCGGAGCCGCTAATCCCGCACAGCCTGCGCCCAAGCCTCTTCCAAGCCATGCGCCTCGAGGGCCACGAGGAGAAACTTGTTGCCGTCAAGCAGGTTCTCCAATATTTCCCGCATACCCACTTTGAAACCTTCAAGGTCAGCTTCTGCATGCGTGTACGGGCGTGCACTTGTTTGCGTGTGAGTGAGTGAGCGAGTGAGTGAGTGAGTGAGTGAGTGAGTGAGTGAGTGAGTGAGTGAGTGAGTGAGTGAGTGAGTGAGTGCGTGCGTGAGTGAGTGAGTGAGTGCGTGCGTGAGTGAGAGTGTGAGTGAGTGAGTGAGTGAGTGAGTGAGTGAGTGAGTGAATGTGTGTGGGTCTTCGTGCACTCGTGTGCCTTGAATCTGAGCTTGCGGGTCTTCTTCCAAGGGCTTTCGTAACACTCACCCTTCTGCTCACACTTGCATACTTGTTGCCTTGTTCTTCTTGCTTGTTGAGCAGCGCATGTGCATCCACCTCGCGAGTATTTGCGAGCACTCGTCCTGCAACAAAATGACAAAGGAGAATATTGCTCTCATCTTTGGGCCAACCTTCTTCAGCGTTTCAGCGGTGAGCGCAGACAACCCCTGTATGTCACGCCACACTGGGATGGCCATTTCCTCATCGCGCACACCGATCGCCCCCAACACACATGCACACATACACACATATACACCTGCTCACCCCCCCCCCCCCCACACACACACATACACACACACACCTCGCCACTGTGCGTGTGTCTTGCGCAGGACTCCGTTGGTCTGAGCACCGGCGACACGTCGAGTGCAATGCAGGTCGTCCGCACTTGTCTCCAGTTTGTGGAGTGGATGTTCGAGTAAGTTCTCTTCACTTTATGCCAGCCGCGCTTGCTCGCCATTGCTTTGTTCTGAGTTTGCCGCTATCACCAGCAGTGTTTTCCCTGCAACGACCACTGTGTTCTCACCCAAGCGCTTGCGTGTGTGTGTGTGTGTGTGTGTGTGTGTGTGTCTGTGTGCGGTTTGGACAGCTTGGAAGCAAAGTCCGCCAAGGAGCTGACCTTTGAGGAAGGCCTGCGCAAGATTGAGGAGGCCACAAAGCAGCACAATGATCCGGCGAAGGAGGGTGCGCACAGCCCGTTTATTTATGAGATCTTCTTCGACGACACGACCGACGCACACACCGTTCCCGTGGAGCAGGGAACCACCAGCCGCGAGGTGCGCCAGCACAAGCCGGCCATCGTGCCATGCATGATGACATGGATGCAATGTGCTGCTGGTGTTGTCTCGAGCTGTGTGTGTGTGCGTGTTTGTGTGTGTGTGTATGCGTTGCGTGCGTGTGTGTGTGTGTGTGTGTGAACGTGTGTGTATGCGTGTGTGTGTGTGTGTGTGTGCGTGCGTGCGTGTGTGTGTTTCGTGCGTGCACGAGGACGCATATGGCACGCTTGTTTCTTTCTTCTGGCTGTGGCGCCATGATGTGGCGTCACTGAACTCTTTTGACGCTCGATCACTCACGATGTACGCTGTATGTGTATCGTGTGCTCGTGTGCTCGTCAGGTTGCGGCAAAGGTTCTGCTGAAGCAAGGTCACACGGTCGGCGACGAATGGTCTCTGTACGAATACATCCGCGACGGCACCCTCTACCGCCCGCTTGAGGACGAGGAAACGGTATGTCCCCTGCTGTGACCACACCAGTGAAAACCAACCGTCTGTTGTGTTGTTGTGTTGTGTTGTGTACGTGGTGTATTGTGTTGTGTGCGTGTACGTGTGTGCGTGTGTGTGTGTGTTTTATCTGCGATACTCAAAGTACCATGAGCACAAGCAACTGTTTGTTCTCACAGTTTCTGCTGCTGTTGGTATCATACCAATGCCCTCTCCCTTCGACCCCACTTGTTGTGAACCAGATGCAAGAAGCAGCACATCGTTGGCGCGGGCACGCCACCCTGCGCATCAAAATCAACCCAGTCAAGCCCCTCCTCGACACAAGCACAGACGTGCGTGTTGTGCATGTTTACACGTGTTGTGCATGTTTGCTTCAGGGACCATGGAAGAGGTCCACGCCAAACACAACACTTGCTCTTTTGTACAGTGTTGTTGTACATTGATCGTCTTTCACACGCCCATTCACACACACACACACATTCACACACACACACACACACACATTCACACACACACACATTCACACACACGCACACACACACACGCTCACCCACCATCACACCATCACACCATCACTGCCATTGTCACGATCAAAGCGGCTGGAAGGATATCTGTACGTGCGCGCAGGCAGCGGCTCCGCGTCGCTGTCGCAGCTCGTCAGCCGCAAGGCCTCCAAACTTCTCGGTGAGACAACACCAGCGGGCAACACTTTCGCGTACATGCACTTGTGTGTAGTGTAGCACGATCATGTTGTTTCGTGCCCTCGCCGTTCTTGCGTGCGTGTGTGGCGTTCCGCAAATGCTCATCTTTGTTTGATGTGGGTGTGTATGTGTTGGTTGATGAATCCTTCATTGGCAGGGAGTGTGTCTGTGGGCAAGTCGTGGAAACGCCTCTTCTTCTCATGCTTTCCCCGCGAAAGCTCAACACCGGAACTGCGATACTTCAAGGTGTGCATCACTGGACTGCATGCACAAGCTGTCTGGACGTTAACGACCACCGCATGCCTCATGGACACACACACACACACACACACACACACACACACACACACACACACACACACACACACACACATGTAGGATGAAACAAAGCAGCAAGAGCTGTCGAGGATTCCCCTGACACAGGATGCGCGCGTGTACTTCTCGTCTCTCGCTGATAAGAAGCCGCCAACAGAGCACTGTCTCGTGTTGCAGGTGTGCATACATGTATGAATGCGTCGTGTTCGAAAGGCCTTTTGGTATCTGCCGCTTTCTGCCGTCAAACGCGATTGCTTTCGGCTCATGCTCACTCCTTGTTATTCTGGCGTTCCTGGGTATCGTGCAGATGCTCAAGGGGGAGCACGCGAATGAGCTGTACCTGTGCGCAGAAACAGAGGTTCGTTCGACACGCACGCACGCACACACATACACAGACACACACAGACACACAGGCACACACACAGACACTCACACACAGACACACACAGACAGACAGACAGACAGACACACACACACGAACACACAGGCACACACACACACATACGGACACGCACGCACACACACACACACACACACACACACACACACACACACACACACACACACACACACACATACGGACCCTTCTTCGACATTGCACTCACGACCCTTGTGCTGTCGTTGTTGCGTTTCATGCAGGATGAGCGAGACCAATGGTGGGCAACACTCACTGTCGCCAGAGAACGCTCGTGACATCTCCGCCCCGTTACTGTCATTCATTCCTTGTAGTGGTGCTTGTTTGGCTCTTACCCCTGTTGTTGCTTGTCACGTGATTTGTTTTGTTGTTACACCTCATTCCACCGCTTTTGTTGTCCGCTGCTCCCTGCAACGCATCGATTGACGACTGCGTATATGTGTGTGTGTGTGTGTATGTGTGTATGTGTGTCACTTGTTCTCTTTTTCCCTTGTCTTCTTCCTCTGGTGGCGCCAAACGCCACCCATGTGTCGAACCCCCCCCCCGGGTCATTGATGTTCAGCGTTAATTGTGCGGTGTCACTGCCTCTGTCCCCCTCCCCCCCTCTTCTCTTTCTCGTGCCTCTTGTGTGTCTGAGACTTCACGCTTGTGTGTGTTGGGTTGTTTTTGGTTTCCATGGATGGCCCGTGGTGCCGACGATGTTGATAACAAATCCAAATTGAACACTTCCCTCGTTCAAAGACAGCAACTTGTGTACCAGCACGGGCAGCGCGTGTACATCGCGTGCCGATTCACCGTGCCCACACTGCATGATGTTAATCATAACGAAAAAGGGAGGGGAGGGGGAAAGGGCAACCAAACATGCTTCCCCGTCACACACTCCATCAGACAACAAGAACAGAGCACAGACACACAGACACACAGACACACTGTCAAGACACACACGCACACAGACACAGACACAGACACAGACAGACAGACACAGACACAGACAGACAGACAGACAGACAGACACACACGCACACACACACACGCACACAGACAGACAGACAGACATACACACACACACACACACACACACACACACACACACACACACACACACACACACAGAGCAGTCAACTCTATTCTGCAACAGGGTTGAGGGCGGTGTGCATGCGGTCTCTCAGTTGCCGCGCCTGCACCTTCACGTCGTCTGTTCTCGGCACGCTACTCCGCAGCACACGCGCGAGCATGTCCTGGGAACCCGTGCACGCAAGTCATGTGATGCAATGTGATGTGAGGCAAACGTGAGGTGGACGTGAGGAGAAAATACAACAAAAGAGGTTGAGAAGGGGCGGGGGTGAAAAGGGCCGCGCAGCAGCGGTGCAAGGGGAAGAAACACCTATGAACAAGCCCGAGACACCATCAAAGATGTAAAAAGGCGTGCAGGTCTACTGTACTCTGGTGTGAACGTGTGCGTGTGTGTGCATGAGTGCATGTTGTCATGCCAAATCATTTTACCTTGACGTTGAGGCTGCTTGCATCGCCGCGCACAAAGACGAGGAGAAGGGTTGCGAGGCAGACGTTGGCGCCAATCTCATCCAGCGCGTCCTCGGCGCAGTGGAGGCTGAACAGAAACTGCAGGTGGCGTTCGCACTCGGCCTCCAACACGGGGTCGAGCTGGACATCCGGGGAGGAGCGTCCGCCCTTGTCGCTGTTGTCGCTGTTGTTGTTGTCGGCGTCGTCGTCGCCCTCGCGTTCTGTCGACAGGAACACGCGAAAGAGGTACGCGCGCCATATTCTCGCCACGAGCGTACGGAAGGCCTAGCCATGATGCGGCAGCAAGACAGCACACGAAAGGGAAGCAAGTGGGTGAAACGACAGCAAGTGGGCGAGTAGCAGCGCCGACGATAGCCGCAGAACAATGTCCCAATGCACCTGCCATCCCTCGCTTCTCAAAAATTTACGGAATGCATGCATACTCTCCATAGAAGGGGATGTCACACAAAAAATCAACAACAGGTTCCCGCACTTTGCATCGCTGCTCGTCGTGTGTTTCAAAGAGGATGGCCATGTGGAAATAACCGGTGCAGCACTGCGGGTCCATGGGCCCAAATGCGCACGAAGAGAAGTACACCTGTCACGCCGCCCACACAATCAATCATCAGCATGGGAGAGACGGCGCAGACAATGTCCAACGGATTAGCCAAGCATGCGAGATCACGCAGGCAAGGCGGTGCCAAATGCAAGTGCGGGGAGTGGGGGGGGGGGGAGGAGGGGTTGGAGAGCAGAGGTTGGATCGCATGGTAATAAACCTGGTACAACAACAACAACAGATGCACAGATACGCACACAGACACACAGACACAGACACAGACAGACAGACACACAAGCAAACACTCACACAGACACACACATACACACACACGGACACACAAACAAACAATCACACAGACACACACACACACACACACACACGCAAAAGGAGGAACATACGTCTTCTGCAAAGTGGGCCAAGGATTCTGCCAGCTTCTCCTTGGCAAGATACAAGCGGCCAAGGGAGCGATGCATTTTGGCTTCGAGCACTGCTGGCAAGGGCTCGCTCTGCAACCCATCACAGACAGACCCGCACGGGCGCAGACACCGGTGAGATGAGCACGCAAAGATGTGTGAGGGAATAAGCACTCACTCGTCTTGCCTGAGCAGCAACAAGGTTGAAGCTGTCGGAAAGTGACACAACACGATGCACCAAGGAAGGAAGGAAAGCCACAGCAAGTCTAGCACACTGCATGCCTCACCGCTTTCAAGGCGAGCCAGTGTGCTTGTGTGAGGTATTTTTCGGCGTTCTTGGTTTGACCAACACCGAGATAGGCAGAGCCCAATTGGACATATGGCGCAATCAAGTCCATGCTGTCGTCGGCATGCACGGACTCTGCCAGATCCATGGCCTATCACGTCAGACACGCAGCCAACACAAACAAAGTGCGAAGAGAGTCAACCGACATGCGCTAGCGGGATGCAGGTTCAGCAACAAAAACAAAAAAAAAAGCATGTATGGTCAACACGCCACACGACGTGTATGCATCGAGAGCAGAAGGGGCGGCGAGAAACAAGGCAGCACACAAAGAACCACGCAGCCGACACATGAGCACACGCAGCCGACACATGAGCACAGCACACACACACACACACACACACACACACACACACACACACACACACACACACACACACACACACTTGTTGTGCTTCGTCGAGGGCATGCTGATGGTCCAACCGATGGCTTGCAAGCTCCGAGGACTTGAGCTGTAGTGCAATCACCTCCTCTGCATCTTTCTTGTTGGGCTTCTTGCCCGATCCCCCTCGCTGTTGCTGTTGCTGCTGCTGTTGTGGTCGGCGAAGCATGGCTGGCTTTGGTGGGTGAATCTGCGTGATTGGTGTGGTGTGTATCTGCGTTGTTTGGCCGCTGCGATTGCGGAAAAGTGGCTGGCATTTTATGCAAATTGTCGGCGTATCCAAGGGACGAGCAGCCAAAGCACAACAACAGCAGCCGAACAGCAGGCAAAGCACACATCACCGCTTCAACCACCACCGCCACTTGCAGCAACCACCGCACGACAACCGCTTGGAGCAGCGCTACCAGCAGCGCAGCACTATCACTCACAACCACCACACTCGCCGTCACAGCCGCATTCAAGTGCCATCATGCCAAAGAAGAAGGGCGGAAAGAAGAAGAAAAAGGGGAGCAAGAAGGCTTCCTCGGCTTCTGCGGAACCCAAGCTGAGCCAGATGGAACGCTTCGTCCGCTTCTCGTACGTGCTTGTTGTTGCTGTTGTTGCTGTTGGCGTGGAGACGCATGCGCTTGCTTGCGTATTAGCGCGGCTGTGTGATTCACGGAGGTGTGCTGGCTCGTGCCCTGAGCTCGACCCTGTGCCATGTCTCTCAATTTCCCCACACGCACACACACGAATATGCATGCGCACATATACGAACACACACGCACTCATGCACACACACACATACCAACACTCGCACTCGCACACACACACACACATACCAATACACACACGCACATACACACACGCACACATACACATACCAACACATACATGTGTGTTTGGATACCAGAGTCGAGACACGGTCTGAACAGATCACTTCGTGGAGGCAAGAGCGGGATGAGATGAGGCACAACAACGTCATGCTTCGGGAGCAGCTTGATGCCCTCAAACAGAAACAGCAACAGGTAAGCACCACAAAACGGCTGTCATCTAAGGAAGCGGGTACCTCAACAGTTATTTACCCGTACGCTTGCCTCGCTGCCTGGCGATTGCCCTGATCACTCATGGTTCACCTATGGTCCCCTTCTCACACACCCTCGCCTCACATATTCCGTGTTGATGTATTGGGCAGACGGTGACCAAATTGCGAGAGAAGAGCTTTGGAACAGCGCACGAGCTGACACAGTATGAGCAGGAGCTACAACAGCGCATTGAAGACGCGTTGGGCGAGAAGCAGGAGTTTGTGAAGACCGAGGAAAAGTCTATTGTGGACATGAGGCGCAAGCTGAAGGAGACGGAGCAGCGCATCATCGATGAGAACCAGGCGCTACAGTCCCTGCAAGTGTTTCAGGTGTTTGGCCAGCAGGAGAACATGAAGGCCATTGAGGACTTGGAAACCGTCATCACGGAAATGAAGCAAGGCCATGAAGAGGTCCGTGCGCAGTCTTGCGCGCGCGCGCGCGTGTGTGTGTGCTTTGTGTGTGTTTCGTGTGTGTGTTTTGTGTGTGTGTGCGTGCTTTGTGTGTGTGTGTGTGTGTGTGTGTGTGTGTGTGTGTGTGTGTGTGTGTGTGTGTGTGTGTGTGTGTGTGTGTTGTGTGTGTTGTGTGTGTGTTCTCGCTTGCGTGGGATGGCTGTCAGTGTATGCATGTGTATGTTAGGTTCAATTGGAGTACGTTGTATTCGCTCATGCTTAGTATCTCCCTTTGTTTGACTTGTGATATCTGACGTGTCTTTCTGCCCCACGTGTCCAGGAGTTGGCTGATATGGGCAAGCGCTTCCAGTTTGCGCGCGAGCGGTTCTCCGCAAACTTTGACGCGCGCGTGGAGCGAACGCGTGAGCTCGCAACAGAGAATGCAATCAACATCCAAAGCAGTCGCGATAAGGTATGCAGCAATGCACCAGACCTTCCATTTGTGCCAGTTTCGTGGCGTACACGCCTTGCACATAAGTTGTTTGTGTCACAAGTGTGTGTGTGTGTGAGCTAGCAAGTGTGTGTGTGCGTGTGTGTGTGTGTGTGCGAGCGAGCAAGTGTGTGTGTGTACGCGAGTGTATGTGCGTATGTGTACGTGCTGTTTCGTGTGCATGCATCTATGCGCATGTATGTTTGACTTTCATATCGACAGCTAACTTTCCCCCTCCTCCCCCATATTGCGATGCCTGCCCGGTTGCCTCGGGCCTGGCCAGGTTGCTGCTGCGGAGCGGGAGTGGCTGAAGCGAGAGCTGGAGACGCATCGATTGGAAAAGCAGCGGCTGCAGTCCATCTGCGATGATCTCGAGAAGGAAAACCTGAAGCTCCTCGCAACCCTCTACGCAGAGGGCGCGGTGCGTTGCAGTGCTCTTGCCGTGGTGGCAGTGATGGTGGTGGTGGTGGTGTCGTGTGCTCTTTATTCAAACAACGACGACGTGCACAGGCAACCAACATCCCATTCTCACGCGACATGTTACAAGCATACACACGCACACACACACACACACACACACACACTCTCTCTCTCTCTCTCCCTCACGCACACACTCTCACACACACAATCACACTCACTCACTCACTCTCACTCTCACACACACACACAATCACACTCACTCACACACACACACACACACTCGATGCTTGCTTGGTCGCACAGGACACGTCAAAGTGGCGCGCGGCGAATGCGCTGAAGCATCTGGCTGGAGGGGCGGAGGATGAGGAGGAGGATGATGAGGAGGAGGAGGAGGAGGACGACCTGATGCTGTCTGACGACGACGACGACGAAAACATGACCGGTGAACTCGCTGGTGCACCCGCTGTTTGAGGCACACCCATATCCATACATACGCACGTACACATACGCACATTCGCACAAACGCACATTCACACAAACGCACATTCACACAAACGCACATTCACACCTGCGCATCCAGACACACTCACTGGCTCACTCGCTCACACACACATCATTTACACACACACACACACACACACACACACACACACACACTACACACACACACACACACACACATCATCACACACACACACACACACACACACACACACACACGAACGGCTAGCCTCGGGACTTTAAACACTCGACCTGGTGGGTTATCCGACTGGGTGGGTGAACGTTATAGGGTCGAATGGGAGATAGTGGACACCTTCACGCTGATCGACTGACCTGTGACTTCCAGCGTGTATACGTGCAGAAGCACCTAACTGACGGGGGGGAATAGTATTTTATCCCCACACTCTAATTCCTTCTTGACTGTGTCTATATCTCTATAGCTCTTTGGGGCCCGCGGCGAGCCCGCGCGACCTCAACTAACGTGTTACTATAGTTATCAAATAGTATAGCCGGTCCATGGCTAGTCTGAAACTTGTGCGTGCAAGGTCCGCTTGGCCTCGAAGAAAAGGAGCGGCCAATCGGAGCGTGGATTTCTCCTAACTACCACGGAATCCGGTGTGACTCTACACAAAGTTGCCCGGGAGCAGACCGGCTAGGAAACAATCCATGGCTAATAGACGATGGATGCGTTCGGTGTCCGCATTCGGAAGTCGGTGAGCACAGTTCAATAGCTAAAGAAGTACCCAAAGGCGCCGAGCATTCAGAGGGGCAGTGGCACATTTCAACACGCGGCGACCCCGTGTTTGTGCGCCACGAAGTTTCCACTGTGGAACTCTTCAAGGAGGATCAATCGCGGCGCGTGCAGCAGCTCAAAACGTTTAGTCAGCTGCCCGTGCAGATTGCTGCGCCCAACCGCACGACCCCAGCAAAACGTGTGTTGCCGGAGATTCGGTCCACGGGCAACGCCCCCTCGCCTCGCGTGCAGGCCGTGCTGGCCGAAACATCCAAGACCATGCACTCTCCGCCGGTGAAAAGCACGCGCGCACGGCGATGGGGCCCGCAGATGTCGGCAGCGTCATCGTTGCACGCGACACTTCGGGGCAGCGCGGGCATGTTCACGCGACGGTCGTACCAGCAGCAACAACAACAACAACAACACTACAAAGGTGTCACGTCACCATCGCCACACCAGCTGCCACCACTCAGCAGAAGCGCACAGCACCAGCACGCCATCCCAAAGTGATGATGTATTCACGACCATTTCTGTGTACACGTGTGTGTGTGTGTGTGTGTGTGTGTGTGTGTGTGTGTGTGTGTGTGTGTGTGTGTGTGTGTGTGTGTGTGAGCGTGGCATTTGTTCTGTTACATTTCTCTTCATTTTTGTTGCATCACATGCCACGACAGTGCATGCCTTTTTTTTTGTGTCTCTCTGCCTCTTCTGCATCTCTTCGCTACATCCTGTGAATCATTGCTGCTCCCGTGCATATGTGTGGGGGCTTTCATCGCCCTGTCGTAATTGAATGGCAACATTGAGTCTGACAAAAGGATGTGATGTGTTGGAGCTCGTGTCGTGATTGTATGGAGTGCAACAGACGCAGGGGAAGGAAGGGGGGAGGATGGAGAAGGGCAAGCAAGCGATCAAGAAAGGAAGTAATGAAGGAAAGAAGGAAGAGCACAAAGCAAAGGCAGGAAGGAAAGAAGAAAGGAAGAAAGGAAGGGAGAATGTGGGCACGTGGCACACATCAATGGGGAGCACATTTAAGCTGCGCGAAGACCAAGGCAGAAGAAAAAAAAAAAAAAGACATGGAACCAGCTAAAGTGTGCTCGAAAGAGGGTGGACAGGGAGCACGCAAGGTCAAGTACATGACAGGCGACAAAGAACATCCCACCCAACAAACTAAAGACATCACAAGGGACCAAAGGACCAAAAACCACAGCGACAGCGACAGCACCACCACCAAAGCCACGCACACACACGCGCACATTGCGTGCGTACAACGCAGGATGCAGCGAAAGGGCAAGTCAGCCACACACAGACACACACACACACAGCCATGGACAGACGTGCACAACAAGGCAGACGCGTTCACACCGGCGACACAAGTCACAGCACACGCCAAGAGGATGGTGAGAGCACAGTAGCACGGGCATGCGTGTGTACAGCTATCGTGGAGGAAGACGTGTCACACACAAGTTGACTGGGAAACACAAAGCAAAAAAAGGGGGGGGGGGGCTTGTGGTGGCGGTTGTGCCACGTCACGTGGACAGCCATCAATGGTGACCGCGCACTTCGCCCGGCGTGTAGTTGCGGTCAATCACGGGGTCCTGCAGGAACATGTGCAGGCTCTTCTGGTTCCGGGCCAGGGGATGGCCAGCAACCCTGGGCACAGGCGGCGCGTCGCATAGGATTGGTTTGGTTTGGTTTGATTTGGTTTGGTGGGTGAGGTGGGGGGGGGGTTGGTGAGAAGTTGTCGTGAGTCAGGAGGTGGATGGGAGGGTGTGGTTGCGTGCGTGAGATGTGAGGCTGTATGAAAGGGGAAATAACGAACCAATCGTGGCCGCATGGATGGAGAAGGAACCGCGCAGATACAAACACCCAATTCAATCACACCAGCCTCAATACCTTGCACCACTGAACACGCAACACAACGCACACACACACACACACGCGCGCGCGCGCGCGCATGATGCTCACTTGTTGATAAACTCCTCGAGGCCCTTGCGTCGCCTCTCAATGAAGTCCTCCGCAAACAACCCTGCAGATGCAAGCAGCAGTAGTGATTAGGACGTCATCGCAAGCAAGCCAGCAGAAACAGCATGTGGAGGATACGCAGTGGGGCAGACGCGACGTCACGCACATGAGTACAAGCACGGGTGCAAGGCACGTGCTCATGCATGTGATGCCGACCTTTGTCTGCAGACACCCAAGGGAGCTGGCGGCCGTAAGACTTGCCAGGCAGAGGAGGAACGACAATCTGCAACACAGCACGGGGGGCAATGATGGTCACACACACGCACATGCACACACAGGCATACATCGTGAGTTCAACAGATTGCTCGTCGTCGAACACACACACACACACACACACACACAAACACATACACATACACACACACAAACACGCACACACACACACACACACACACACACAAGAACATGCTTGTACACAAGGGTGTACGAAGCGTAGTGGTGGTGCTAGTCACCTTGGAGTCGCGCTCAAGCTCCTTTCTGAGCCATTGGAATTCACTGTAACGCCGGCGCACGCTGGACTCCTTTTGCTTGAACACAGGCAGGTTGGTCTGCCCAAGGAGACACACGACACAGTAGCACAGTCAACAGCAAACACATTATGATATGGTGGCGCTCATGAGACTGAAGTATGCATTATCATTCCCACACCCACACCCACACCCACACCCACACCCACACCCACACCCACACCCACACCCACACCCACACCCACACACACACACACACACACACACACACACACACACACACACACACACACACACACACAAACAAACAACACGCACGTGTGCGGTTGCACGAGCTCGGCCTGCTGTTTAACCATGCAAGAGGCCACCCCTATGCCCCCCCCCCCTCCAAACCAGTGTTGAGACGTACCCGGACGCGAACTTCGTATGTTGTGAACTTCTTGGTGCCCTCCATCTCTGTTTTTGGGTCACACACGTCAATCTCCAAGAAGTTATCTGGCTCTGCGTATGCCTCAGCCAGGGTCTGCGGCCGGTCAACGGCTGGTGTGCCCGTGATCACTTCACTCATGGCGTCTGTAGACAAGTCAAAGAACAACAGCAAGGACGCGTTGGCTGGTTGGTTGCCTCGTTAAACGAGTTTGCTGCCGCCGTGTGTGTACGTGTGTCTTGTTTTTGCTGGTTGTTGTGGTGTGTTGTGGTTGCCTTGCTGCTCCAAGCCCCGCTCGTCGTCTCACACCCACACAGTCTTGCTTCTTGGATGGCTGAGCTTTGTGCTGGAAGGAGCGTGTGGTGTCTTTGCTTTTGCTTGCTTGTGTGCTTGCTTGCGTGTGGCCAAATGAAGCGAAATACATTAATTTTTTATGCTGGTACAAAATCGATTCGATGCTGTCTTAAGGGGAAGGGAAAAAAAAAAAAAAGGAGGAATGGGCAAAACAGCGCCTTTTGCTGCCGCGACGAAAAACCTCACCCACCAAGAACACTGCTTTGCAACCCACACTCATCAGAGTTCCAAGTCGGTGGTGACGGTGGTGTGCAGGGTGTCAGTCATCCTTCCATCCATCATCCATCATCGTCGCTTCCATTCATTGAGAGAGGATTTGCTTGCTTGCTCGCTTGCTCGCTTGCTCGCTGCTCCTCTTCCTCCCTGCTTCCTCGTTCCTTGAAGCAACGAGTCAGCAACAGCAGCACAACACTCGTTCTGTAGTGTGCTTGACGAGGGCCACCATCAAGCATGTCTGCGACGTCAATTGAGGACTTGTTGCAGACTCGTACGCAGCCCTTCACCGAGCACCAGGTTGGTGACACGACCGAGCACCGTGCGCTCTCCTGCGCTTTCTTGTGTGCTCGGTGCCACCGTGTTGTAGGCGAGCGCCTGAGTACCCGAACCCCGTGCATGCCACGTTCTGCCATATCGTCTCGCGACCTTCTCACCACAGCCCTACCGATCACATGGGTGCGCTCTTGCTGCAGACATGGGCTCTCATTGGCCAAGCCCTGGTTGCCCTGCACAGCTTAGATGACAGAGCGCTGCCTAAAGTCGCAATCACTCCCACCACAACAGGTGACAAGACCTTGTATGGCTGTGCATGGTCGTGTGTTGTGTGCGTGTGCACATGTGCGTGTGTACATGTGCGCGTGCGTCCCACTGTTTGGAAACGTGCCATCACCACTGCTGCTATCACTTCTGCTGCTGTTAACGACTGCTGCTGTCAACGACCGCTCATCAATTGTCGTTGCCTCGATGCTTGTCGTGTGGTCGGTCTTTCCCAGCTTTGGACACGAATGGCAAGCTTCACTTCTTCCAAGGTCTGTGTGATTCACACCCAAAAGCACACACACTCAAGCACGCAAGACAGTTACTTGGCCCGTGGTTTGCGTTGTTTCCTCCCCATCTCCCATCTTTGTGTTGCCCATCAGCTCACATCGCTGCTGCCTCCTCATTCATTTCTCGGTACAGCACGAAGCGCGCAGTCGCCACAGCATGCAGCATTTAACCCGCCAGAGCGTGTGCAGCTGTTGTCTGGCTCATACTCTCGTCGCGCCTGGGAGAATGTGAGACATGGCCTGTCTTTCCCGGCCAATCACACACGCACACACATACACACATACACAGACAAGTGTAATTGCGGGCCACTTGCGTGCTTGCGTTGTTTCCAACGGCTGTGTGCTCCATCCCTCTCACAGTGCTATATATATATATATATATGTATATATCTCTCTCACTCTCTCACACACACTCTCTCACACTCTCTCACTCTCACTCACACACACTCTCACTCACTCTCACTCACACACACACACACACACACACTCTCTCTCTCTCTCTCTCTCGCCAAAACGCAAATCGTTAGGCGCACATTTACTCGATTGGAATGCTGGCCTTCCATGTGCTGGACTTCATGTCCAGTGGTGCCGCTCCACCAGCGCTCTCGGAGGAGCTGGAGCAGTTGCTTGCAGGCATGACAGAGGACGACCCACGCCAAAGGGTCATGTGAGTCCCGTGTGCTGCCCTGCGCTGTGCTCGTTAGCAATGTCGTGCGGTGTGCACGGAGGCATGGACGACGTCTCATCCCTGTTCTGCTTCCGTCAGCGTGTCCCTTGCTTCCACCCGTATCCACGCACGCTGTTGACCTTTGAACCACCACCACCATTATCCATGCACTGCAGGATTGAGCGGCTGCGTCGTGTTGTTCGCGCCCACCGCATGCAACGCGACACGCCACAGTACTCCCTCACCCTCGCCACCATCGCCAAGCAGGCTATTGCGCGCACCCCAGCACAACTGCAGCAGCAGCAGCAGCAGCAACTGCGGGCAGACACGACCATGATGGCGCTGCGCTCGCCGCCGCAGCAGCAGCCGGTGGTGTCGACCGTGAACAGCGGGCACCGCGGTCCACCACCCAAAGCGACGCCGTCGATAGCCGCCAGCACCAACAACACCACCACGACCCCGCAGCGCATCGACCTCTCTGCCGCGCCCACGGCGACACCTGCCAGGGCGCACACCAACCACTTCAACTTCAACAACATCTTCAACAACATCAACAACATTCCGTCGCCTGCGCTGAGCCCGATCACGCCAGCAACGCCCTACACGCTGCGCACACGTGGCGAGGGCCCAACAGCACACGTGCACCTCCTCACGGGGGCAGTGCTGCAATACCCGACATACGCAAACACGTATGTACGCGACATCTTCCAGCTCGCCTGTCGTGCCTGTGGTCTTGTCGAATCGGCATACTTTGGCCTCTCACGCCGGCGGCCAGGTACACAACGGTGTGGGCTTGTGCGCATGTGTGTTTGTGGATGTGTGTGTGTGTGTGTGTGTGTGTGTGTGGATGTGTGGATGTGGATGTATGTGTGTGCGTGTGTTGCGCTCATGTCCTTCATGGTCATGGTCAATGCAACCTCGTTGCCTTTGTGAACCCTGCTCTGAATGTACTCCAAATGCCAGCTTGCATCCACACCCACCCACACACACACACACCCCCATCCACACACACACACACACACACACACGCACACGCACACACACCCATCCACACACACACACACACACACACACACACACACACACACACACACACACACACACACACACACACACACACACACACACACGCACGCACACACAGATTCACTGATTGAGACAGAGTTTCTTGACATGAGCAAGCGCATCTGGGATTACCACCCACCGGCCGGCCACAACAACCGCGATGGCAGCACACACTCTCGCACGCGCACACGTGCACGCACACGCAGCAAAGCGTCCAAGGGGTTATCGTCACCGTCATCATCATCATCGTCGCCATTGCCCGGTGGCCAGCGCGGCCGCGAAGACACCATCCAGCTCTTTTTCCGTGTCGAGTTTTATGTCGAGAACATTTCTTGTCTCGCCCTCGAGGCGACAAAACACATGTTTTACCTCCAGGTGCGTGTGTGTGTGTATTTGTCTGTGTGCATCTGCGTGTGAGTGCCTGCGTGTTATGAGTGTGAGTGCACGCATGCGCGTGTGTGCATTTGCTTGTGAAAGGCTTTACCTGCTTGTTTTTGTGTTTTCGTGCGGTTTAGTGTGTCAACATGTTGTGACGACCTTTATGTCACGGCAAACCTGATGTTCCATGACTTGGCAACCCTCACATGCTGTTTCCTCAAACACGCTTCCTCGCATGCTGTTTGTTCAAACACGCTTTGACACACTGTCACCGTCGCCACCGCCGGCCCCGCCGCCCCCGCAGCTGAAGCAAGATGTGTTGAACGGTCACATTGCGGTCGACACAGAGGCGGCCAAGCATCTCGCGTCGTATGCGCTGCAGGCGGACTTTGGCGACTACAGCCCCGTCACGCACGCCGGCCACTACTACGATGTTGCAGATTACTTCCCCCAGCCCGTCATCACCGCCCTCACAGCACAGGTTTGGTTTGGTGGCCGTGTCGCGTTTGTTGTCATCATGTGCTGTGCTGTGTTGCAATGGTGTGGCGGTTTGCGAGCCAGCACTGCAGCTCACACACACACACACACACACACACACACACACACACACACACACACACACATCGTGCGTGCGAGTGCAGATGATCCAGCGCGACATGCCTGCGCGCCACAACCGCCGGCGCGGGCTGACCCGCCCCCAGGCCGAGATTGCCTTCATGCGCCTCGCCCAGCGCCAGCCGCTCTTCGGCATCACATTCTACCGCGTTTTCCGCCGCATCCACCGCACAAACGTCCCGCACAAGCTGGGCATCTCCACGCGCGGCGTGCGGCTGACGGAGGATGTGGAGTACCGGCACCCCACCACCACGGGCTTTGCCTGGTCGGACCTCATCGAGCTCACGCTCAAGGGCCGCTGCATCCGCTTCAAGATCCCGCCCGGTGGTGGGCAGCAGCAGCAGAAGCAGTCGTCGCTGCTCGGCGGTCAGCAGGCGCCGGCGCACCACGCCGCCTCCCCGCACGCTGGTGGCCTCTCTTCTCCACGGTCCGGGCGCGCGCGCGTGATTGAGGTGCGATGCGCAACGGAGAGCGACGCGGAATACGTGCACCTGCGTTGCATTGCGCACCACAAGTTCTTCTTCCTCATGCGCCAGCGCCACCCCGAGCTCGGCTCCACCCTGCACACCAAGCAGTCCTCTCTTCACGGCCGCACGCCAGTGAAGAAGCCAACACAGCAGCAGCAGCCTGTGGAACAGCTGGACGGCGGCAGCGGTGCAGCTGCGCCCGTGAAGATGACCGCAACGGATGCAGGGGCCACTGGCCAACGCACTGCCGTCCCCGCCGACGTGGCGACGGCGTTTGAGTCGCGCCAGCAGCCGCTGCAGTCCGTGCGCAGGCTCCAGCAGGGCCAGCAGCAGGAGCAACAGCAGCGTGAGCACGCACGGGAGGAGCATGTGCTTGATTTGCAGGCAGCAGGTGACGATGGTGATGAGGGTGATGGCGACGTGTTTGTAACGCTGGAGAACGACCACATGGACGAGGCTGTGGATCCATCGCAGATCACCACAAACTTTGAAGAGCCGCAGGTGGTGCAGGGCTCCCTGTTTGGTCACCTCCTCCCCACGGCTACTGGGACTGGCGGCGGCGGTGATACCGATACTGGGCGGCAACAACAACAGCAGCAGCAGCAGCAGCAGCAGCAGCAGCAGCAGCAGCAGCAGCAGCAGCAGCCGTCATCGCCTTCGTCTGGTGTGCAGCGGATTGTGCTGCGCAAAGCGAGCGAAAGTCTCGGCTTCAGCGTCGCTGGCGAAGGGCTCGTGAAGCAGATCAAACCAGGCGGGCCCGCAGCAACAGAGGGCACGCTGCGCAAGGGCCACCAAATCATCGCCGTAAGTGCCCCCTTACTGGTGTGCTGTCAACCTCATGCGTCTCCTCGTTGCCGTGTACATATTCGTTGGGTTGAGTGGTTGGTTGTGACGTTTGTGCACGCGAGTTATTGAACATTATTCTGCGTGGTTATTTTTACGCCACGGGTCCTGTTCATATTTTGTGAGATTTCATTCCACGCTGTCCCAACGCTTTGCTTCTGAACTGGCACATACACACAATCACATGCACACAACACATACATACCATACATACACACATCCACATGCACACAACACATACATACCATACATATACACATTCACATGCACACAACAACATACATACACATACACACACGTATGCAGGTGAACGGTGTGGATGTGTCGACGTACTCGCATGAGCAGCTTGTGGATGTGTTGCGTGCGGCGCCAGTGCGTGTTGTGCTGGACGTGCGACAAACAACACCGCAACAGCGCGCAAAGAAACTGCAGAAGAAGAAAGCGCGCGACAAACTGCTGCAGAACCGCCCGCCACCACAAACGTCCGAGGACGAGGACGATGGTGCTGCTGCTGGCGACGGTCCCACCAGCAGCAGCGGAGATGGCAGCGGCAGCACCGAGCGGCTGAAGGAGAACGGACGAAACGGTGCAAGCGCGCGCCGCAGTCGCCCGAGCAAGCCGTCATCGGCGTCAGTCTCCTCGGGTGCAAACGCGGCCAATTCGCGGCCACGGCGCACCAACGCAGGGCGCGATGGAGAGGAGAACGTCTCTGATGAGGGCGGCGCTGTGTCGTCGGACACGCGCACACCAACGCCATCCACCGTGACGTCGTCGCCAACAGAGCAAGAGATTCCCCTGCACCCGCCCGTCTCGCTCACGTGCACACGCGGCCTTGTGGACGCGGTGCACGTGCGCAGGGAGAATGGCCAACTGGGCCTGTTTGTGTGCGGCGGCAGCGATACGGGCATGGGCGGGATCTTCGTGGAGCGGATTGTGAAGGACTCACCGGTTGATTTGTCCGATTTGCACGTCAGCGACCGCCTCCTCTCCGTCAACGGCATTTCCCTCATGGTGCGTTGCTGGTCATGTGTTGTTCGCGCATGCATGCAGGCTGTGTGTTCATGTTTTATGTGCGTAAACACGGACGTTTTTGTGTGTGTGTGTGTGTGTGTGTGTGTGTGTGTGTGTCTTGTTTGTGTGCGGGTTTGTGTGTGTGTGTGTGTGTGCTTGTGTGAATGTGCGTCTGGGTTGAAGGGGAGGAATGGCTTAAGTTTCTGCGCAATGCGTACATCTCCGTCCTTGCTCATGCGCGCTGCTTCTCGTGTTCATTGTCTCGTGTCGTTCATGCAACAGGACCTGAAGCACAAGGAGGCACTGATGGTGTTGAAGAGCGTGGGCGACGAATTTGAGTTTGAGGTGCAGCGGATTGGGCGGAGCCAGTGGCGCACGCTGGTGCAGGACCTGCGCACCGTGCACGAGGCGAAGCGGCGCAAGGCGAGGGAGATGCGGGAGAGGGAGTTGAAGGCAAAGGAAGCAGGGGCAGCAAAGGAACAGGCGCAGAGCGAAACAACTGCTGAGGGGCATCACAACCTCAAGCAGCAGCAGCACCAACAAGTGCAACAACAACAACAACAACAACAACAACAACAACAACAACAACAACAACAACAACAACAACAACAACAACAACAACAACAACAACAACAACAACAACAACACCGAGCGGAAGAGTCGCGTCCAGTGTCAACTCAGGCCGAGCAGGCAGCGAGCGCGGCCGCTTCAACCGCACCAGCGCAGGAGGCGGACACGGCACAGCCAGGGGAGCACCCCACTCAACAACAACAGCAACAGGAACAGGAACAGCAACAGGAACAGCAACAGGAACAGCAACAGGAGCAAGAACCACAAGAGCACGAACAACACGAACAAGAACAAGAGCAGCGGCAGCAGCCGCCGCCGCCGCAACAACAGCAGCAGCAACAGCTGATGATGGTGACGCTGGAAAAGGAAACCTCCGAGCAAGGTCTCGGCTTCTCCATCCGCGGCGGCACAGACAAAGGCAACAACCCCATCTGTGTTCGACGTGTGCAGGAAGGATCACTCGCAGACAAATGCGGGCAGTTGCATCCAGGGGACCTCATTGTGGCCGTCAATGACACACCCCTCCACGGGATGAAGCACGCCGAAGCACTCACCACCCTGCGGTCTGCTGGCCAAGTCGTCACGCTCGCTCTCCGCCCAGGCGGTAAACGAAGACGCGCATCCAAAGACACACCACAGCAGCAGCAGCAACAACAACATCAGCAAGGAGTTGACAGCGCGAACGCGGGTGCGTCGGTATCAATTGTGCGACCGGTTGCCAGGCGCGCAAGTGCCGGCAATGAAGCAGATGCCGCTCAACCACAGCAGCAGCAGGCCGTTGTGGGCAATGGGCTTGAGGTGATTGTGACGCCTGCGGTGACGGAGGAGCGGACAGCGCCATCGCCTGTGCCGGGGTATCGTGGCGAGGGCATGGTCCTGACAGTGACCATCCCGCCATCCACCAGCTACGGGTTTGGCGTGAAGGGAGGGCTTGGGTCTCCTCGCGGCCTGTACGTGCGGCGCATTGACGAGAGCGGGGTCGCCTTCAAGGCCGGTCTGCGACAGGATGATGTGCTGCTGGCCATCAACGGCGACCCCACAGAGACGCTCACGCATGTGGAGGCGCGACACAAGCTGAAGAGCCTCTCAGGCAGCGTTGCCCTGAAGGTGTGGCGCCCACAGGGCCCAGACGCCATCATTGCAAAGCGCTCGCGCGCAACAACGCAGCAGGCCGGTGTCAGCACCAACACCAGCGGTGCAGCCGTGGATGGAGGTCAGGCAGCGGCGAGTGACGCGAACTCACAGAACGCACACAGTGTGCCTTCAGCATCTACACAAGCCAACGCAGCCCCAGCAGCAACAACAACAGCAGCAGCAACCACAGCAACGGATACGGAGGGATCCAAGCATGCCCCTCAACATCACCAAAAGGACGATGTCGACACTTCACAAGTGCCGCTTCGTCGCCAGCAGCAGCAGCAGCAGCAGCAGCAGCAGAGGGTGCGGCCGCGAGAGACGGACGCGGTGGCGCTCTGGCGACGACGAGCGAGCGGTGAAATCCAGGGCTCCGAGTACGTGGTGAGCTTGGAGAAGGGCACGAACGGGCTCGGCATCAGTCTCTCTGGCGCCGTTGTTGATGGGCAGACGCTCATCACCATCAAGCACGTGTATGCTGAAGGGTCCGCTGGTACGGATGGCCGCATTGCTGCTGGCGATCACCTCCTCACCGTCAACTCCCAGTCCCTGCAGGACCGCACGCCCCAGGATGCGGTGCAGCTGTTTGCGCAGATGTCTGGGCGCGTTGTGCTGACGCTGTGGACGCCCCGCTCAAAGGCGGAGGTGGAGCGCACGCGGACACACCGGTTTGCGGGGCCCGTCGTGCTCGAAGCCGGAGACAGCAGCACAGACGACGCTGCCAGCGACACGTTTGCTGATGACGATGACGACCGTGACGGTGGTGCAAAGGGTACTGGTGATGGTGGCGATGTGTTGGAGGAGGATGCTGAGAGCCCAAGCACATCGGAGGAAGAGGGCAAGGCCGCCGCAACAGCGACGCAAGCCAAGCAGCAAGGCAAGGAGCAAGGAGCAGCGGGCACCACAAGCGCAGACTCCAAACCGAGTGAATCATCCCGCGGGCGTGCATTGCCACCGCTCCCACCTGTGACCACAGCAGCATCAACAGCTGCCCCTGACACGCCCCAAGAGCAAGATAACAAGCACGCGGCCCAGCCGAACGGCCATGTCGCTGCCGCCAACCGCAGCGATTGCGATGCTGAAGACGACGACGAGGAGGAGGAGCTTGATGTTGACGCTGACAGTGATGATGGTGCGGACGTTGGCGATGGTGGTGAGCTGCCTGAGCTGCCAACTTCAGCGCCGCCACCGCTGCCGCCGCCCGCGGATGTGTCGACGTCGTCATTGCGGGTATTGGACGAAGATGGGGATGAAGAGCTCGTCAGCAGCAGAGACGGCCGGCAGGGGCAACAGACGCAGCATGATCAGGCGGAGCGCGCAGACGCAGCATGCGACAGCGGCAGCAACGTCGCCGCAGCGGCAGCAGACGTTGCTGGTCCGCAGCCGGACAGTGACGTGAACGTGAACACCGTCAATGTCAACATCGACGACGACGACGACGACGACGATGATGATGATGGGTCGGAGTTGGACGTTGACGACGAGTTTACGTTTTCGGACGAGGACGATTTGCTGCCGGATGAATCCGCACCTTCGTCCCGCGTTGCATCGCGACAGCAGAGTGTGCACACGCTGACGCCGTCGCTGCCGACTGGCGGGCCAACACCACTACCCATGTCGCCGGCGCAGCTGACGCAGCAGCAGCAGCGCGAGGCAGCACGCGGGGACGGCGCAGGGAAGACGCGCGCAAAGCAGTGGGCAGAGGAGAGCATGAAGGCCAAGGAGGACGCCGCCGCGAACAGGCGCGTGAGCAACGAGGAGCTGATGAGTCATCTCTATCAGAGCGTCACACAGGAGAATGAGACGCAGTTTTACGAGCAGGTGCGCGCGCAGTGCAAGGCGCTTCTTCCTGAGACGACGATCAACGACGCCATGGTCCGCAAGTACCGCGACGTGGCTACAGCACTCTCTGCGGCTGTCAAGGACAAGCTTCCCGTCCGCGAATACCAAGAGCTCAGGCAACGCTCATACTCGGTGTGTGTGTATGTGTGTGTATGTGTGTGTGTGTGTTGCGCGGGTGAGTGCGCGTCATGCGCGTATGCACACGTGTGAATGCGAATGGAGTGCATACACGTAACGATTTCCTTCTCTTTTATAGCTGGTTGGCCCGAGAAAGCCTGCTCCACTCACGTGTTGACATCTGCCTCCTGCATTGTCGTTTGTGTGTGTGTGTGTGTGTGTGTGTGTGTGTGTGTGTGTGTGTGTGTGTGTGTGTGTGTGTGTGTGTGTGTGTGTTGTTTCCTCTGCTCTGTGTCAATGCAGTGCACGTATTCGACAGGGCAGCAGCACCGCGCCCACAACCGCTACCGGGACATGCTTCCGTGCGACAAGACGCGTGTGCAGCTTTCCGACGGGGAGTACATCAACGCCAACCGCGTGCAGCTGAGCAGCGGCAGCAGCGGCGTTGCAACAGATGTCATCATCTCGCAAGGTCCCGTGGCCACGTCCACGCCCCGCTTCTGGCAGATGGTGTTTGAGGCGCGCTCGCCCGTGATTGTGATGCTGACGGCGGAGGTGGAGAAGGGGACGGTCAAGTGCCATTCGTACTGGCCGCCGCGACGCAAGAAGAAGTACGAGTTTGGCGATTTCGTGATTGAGAACATCAACACGAAGCGCGCCGTCCACTTTGTCGTGTCCACGCTTCGCGTCACGCACAAGAAAACACAGGAGGTGAGGCAGCAGTTGCGTTGCGTGAAGATGTAGTTGTGTGTTGGTGAACTTGTATGTTCGTGTGGCGTGTACCTCTGTGTGTACGTGCGTGTGTTCGTGTGGACAACACTTCTTGTTGTGCACACTGTGAAACGCTCACGTACAAATTATGGTTCTTCGCCTGCACACAACACAACACAACACAAACACACACACACACACACAACACAAACAAACACACACACAACACAAACAAACACACACACACACACATACACACAGGAGCACACGGTGACACACCTGCGCATGATTGGATGGCCGGACCACGGTGTACCGCAGAACACGACGTCCATCCTAACTTGCCTGGAGGAGTGTCGTGTGTTCCGTGGGGCGAGCACAGCACCGCCCGTCATCCACTGCAGCGCCGGCATTGGGCGGTCAGGCGTGTTTGCTGCCCTGCTCTTCTTCCAGCAGGCGATGCTGCAGCCCATGCGGCCGCTGGAGGTTGTGGCAAACGAGGACTACAGTCACGAGGTGCGAGGCTCAATTGACTGGCTGCAAACCGTTTCGTCTGGTCCTGGGGGGGGGGGGAGGGGTGTTGGTCGACGGTTGGGCCTGACGTTTTGCATTTCTCTTCTTGCGTACGTGCCTGTGTTCGCCACCTGCTTTTCGTTTCCAGCCTTCATGCATTTGGCTAATGCTGCGTACGTTGACGTTTGTGTGTTCGCGATGCTTCAGACGGTTCCGTTGAAAGATGTTGTTGTGCAGTTGCGTGAGGGCCGTCACCATCGCGTCGTCCAGACAACGGTCTGTGTGTGTGTGTGTGTGTGTGTGTGTGTGTGTGTGTGTGTGTGTGTGTGTGTGTGTGTGTGTGTGTGTGTGTCGGTGTGTGTGTGTGTGTGTGTGTGTGTGTGTGTCGGTGTGTGTGTGTGTCGGTGTGTGTGTGTGTGTGTGTGTGTGTGTGTGTCGGTGTGTGTGTGTTGCTCTGCGTGTATGTATATGTGTGTTGTGCCTGTGCCCGTGTACAAATGTGTGTGGTACTCTGTTGATTCACGCGTGGTATAATGTATGATGTTCTGGATGTTGGTGCTGCAGGATCAGTATCGGTTCTTGTACTCAGCGTGCGCGGATTTGCTGACAAGCATGGCAGATGCCAGATCATGACCTGGGACGCTGCGCTGCGTGTGTGTGTGTGTGTGTCTATGTGTGTGTGTGTGTCTGTATCTGTGTGTCTATGTGTCTGTGTCTGTACAACTGTGTGTTTGTAGAACTGTGTGTCAGCGTGTGTTTGTGCTGCCCTCTTGCCACACACACGCACCCACCCAGACACACACACACTCTCTCTCTTGTTGTTCTTCTTGACTTGTGTCTCGGGCATATTTTGCGCGTTACCATTGCTGTGCTGTGTTCCGTTTCCTCCTTGTACATACCATACCCCCTTTATTTGCCCTTGGTTTGAGTCTTTTCACATGATGCCGTTTCGTCCCACATGCTCGTTTCATTGAGAAATATGACAACACGAGCCGTGATGTGTGATGTTGTCATCACACAAACGAAGCAACGATGAAAGAGAACCAGCACTGTTGCGACACACACCCAGACACACACACACACACACACACACACACACACACACACACACACACACACACACACATGCATGCCAAGAAAGTGCTGCTGCATCCCTCATGCTGTTGATGATGCCGGAGCCTGACCCGCAACCTCTTCCTCCTTCATCATATCCATGGCCTTGACTGGGGCCTCCACAGGCGTGGGCGAGCGCTCCCACACCTGAATGTACGACTCCGAGAGCGTAATCATCTCCGGAAGCATGTCCACCACGTGCAGGTCTTGGATCTCAAACCACTTCTTGGAACCCTGCCATGGTTGATGCGCAGCAGTTGTAAGGGGTACAAGCGTATCGTGAGCACTACTGTGCGCTGTCTCGGATTTTCGCACGCATCCACAACAACATGCAATAGTCATGCAACGCAGCAAAATGCCACGCGGACACACACACACACACACACACACACACACACACACACATACACACATACACACACACACACACCAACACACACCTACCTTGTGATGGACGTGCGCGCGGTATGTTCCCTTGCCCGGACCGGGCAGGCCATCGTGCACAATGTTGGCGAGAAGATCAAACTGGTACGAGTCACCGGACTCTTTGTCCTCCTCCGCAATGTAATCGCTCAAGTCAACGTTCCTGGAAGCATGGGAGGTGCAAGAGAGAAAAGAGAGCGCAGTGGAAAGCAACCATATCAGTACGCGGCGGGTGGGTTGTACAACACATGAACCCACGCAAACACTAGCACACACTCAACCAACACAAACACACGCACACCAATCAAACAAACAACACCTCACGCACGCGCGAAAAATGCGGGGTCTTACTTGACGGGGAAGTTGACAATGGTTGGATTCTTCTCAACAAAGAAAGTGTTCTTTGTGAAGCGTTTGATGTGCATGATGAGGTACTTGGGCAGCGTCTTCAGCCGAAATGTCTTCATGACCGTGTCCTTGTACGTCTTGTACTCGTGCGAAGACACGCCGTCAAACTTGTTCAGCAGCTCAAACAGCGCAACCTGCCCGCGGTGTGTGTGTGTGTGTGTGTGTGTGTGTGTGTGTGTGTATGTGTGTGTGTGTGTGAATGATGGTACGCCATAACAGCATACGGGCTATGCGACCATCAATCGTGCAAGCAAGTGCACAGGAAACACGGAGCATGACAGCTATTCCCTGCGTACCTGTGGAATGACGTTCTGCTGCAATTCGTCGTGGAAGAGCGGCGCTGGCGGGAGATCGAGGCCGAGAAACATGTACTCAATCTCGGTCGTCTTTGCTGCACGCGAGCAGTGGCGGGGATGAACTCACGTGAGGGAAGCAAGTCATGATGATGATGATGATGATGATGATGATGATGATGATGATGATGATGATGATGATGATGATGATGATGATGATGATGATGATGATGATGATGATGATGATGATGATGATGATGATGATGATGATGATGATGATGATGATGATGATGATAATGATGAACAGCAAACGAGACAGAGCGACCACAAGAGGAGGCGCAACACAGGTTGTTGCACAGCACGAACGAGTTTGCATACATCATACATCACACGCAAAGCACAAACCACACCTACAACACGCCTATATCACCAACTCACGTTTGTACTCTTCTGCGTTTGGGTCGATGCGGATGTTGGCCACCTCCTGCATGTCCTGTGTGGGCGGCAGCTTCCGTGACGTCACCAGCATCTTGCCCTGAAGAGAGGGGGAAGCATGAGTCAGAAGAAGAGCGGGTCTCATAGTGGGGGCGGGACGAAGGGGACGCATGGTACACACCCGACGTGCACATGTGTTTACAAGGCGTCTCCTCGTTGCTGCTGTCTTGTGCTGGGTGTGGGGACTGTACAGCACCACGCAACACAAAACAAACAGGCATCTACGTGCAGACACTCATTGGCACGCAAAAGTGTCCAACCTTGAAAGTGTCGCTGATGACGGTGTGTCCGTGCTTGCTGAGTTTGGCGTCGAGTGTGTTGAGGAGCCAGGACAGCAGGCGAATGGGATCGCTCTGATGATGGCAGCAACAGCACGGTCGTCGTGGTGGCGGCACGATGAGATTTGATGCGGCGCATGAGACGACGGGGAGCCACAAGCTCTGAAAACGAAGCACCCACGCACGCGGGCAACAAAATACACGCACGCGTGTGGAAGGGGGGTACACACCTGTTCTGTGATGCGAAATTGCTTCTTGCTGGATGTTGTGATGGCCTGAAGAAACTCGTGTGGCGACACGTGACCCTTGAATGCTTTCGGGTTGTTCACTTTGCGGATCAGATCACCCACTGCGTGCGTGTGTATGTGTGTGTGTGTGTGTGTGTGTGTGTGTGTGTGTCAAGTCGTGTCGTAAGATGTCTAATAGCTACTCGGCCACGTCAGCTAAGGACCAACACACGGACACCAGAGGCAGCACATATCATGTCAAGCGCAACGCACTTGTTTGGACGAGGCGGTCGCGAATGCGGCGAGTGTTGGTGGTGTCGAGGAAGAAGTTGCGAAACGGAGCAACGCGGTTCAGCGTCTGAACACACACACACACACACATGTGCACACACACACACACATGTACACACACACACATGTACACACACAGACACACACACACATATTGTCCCACACACACACATGTACACACACACACACACACCCAACATACATCCACGCGCAACACAATAGTGGGAGTGAGCAAGCGACAAGGGCGTTGCGCAAAGTGCGTTGAGGAAGCATACACCGAACGTGCAGAGAGACAAAGAGAGGAAACGCACCTGCACAACGACGTTGACGTAATCGTTGGCTTTGATGTTGTTCAAACCAACCACGCCTGCAGCGAAGCGACAAGGAGTACATGAGATGGCGAACCACACAGCAAGGGGTAAACGACAGCAACACGTGAGAAAAACGTCTGCATCAGTTGTCACGCACACACACACACACACACCTGGCAGGTATCTGGTGCCATCGAGGGCGCGAGAGTATTTGCCAATCTCGTCCATCTTCGCAATGTAGTCCTTGGAGTACACGGGGTACAGCACAAACTGCACGAAGATGCAATGAAGACGCAACCGTGTGCAAGTAAGAAAAGAGTGGGGGAGGCGGAGAGGTGGATGAATGAGGAGGTAAGTTCGATCGCATCAACAAAGACACGCATGCACACACATGAGCACCATCAAGCTATTGAAGGTAGTGTCCTTTGGACAGGAAGCACAATCCCTTCTCACAAACTAATCATCATACACGCAAGCACACACAAAACAGACCTTGATGTCATCCAGAGCGCTGTCAATGACTTCATAGTTGTCGGGCAAGCAGTAGAACTGTGCAACAGAAAACACAAACACAAACACACACACACACACACACACACACACACACACACACACACACACACACACACACACACACACACACACACACACACACACACACACACACACACACACACACACACACAC